TCAAGGTCGTGGGCCACATCGACTCAACGTTGACTCGTAACTTGAGAAAAGGTTTTCTTGAAACAGCTTGCAATCTTGATTCTGCCCAGGAACGTCGGTGCACGTCGAAATCGATCCACGCTGGTTGAATTGAATTATACATGTACCTTGTTTTCAGAAGCAGCTAGGCCGCGCGAAATGTGCGAACGGTGTTTGTAACGTACAGAAATGTATTGCCTGTGCACTGCGCTTAATGCACTGAACCTGTCACCTGGGTGCAAACGGCGCCCGAAGCTTTTGTCCATTAATAGTACCGTTCAAATCCGCTCATATTACAAAAAGGGAGAGAATTTAATGATAATGAGTTATTCATTAGTTACTTAGAGGTAATCATCATTTGTTTGCTAGCTCTTCCATTCGTCCATTGACTGATTCATGCTGGCGGTGCCTGCAGGCCTTCCTTCGCTCGGCGTGTCAGCTCGTGAAGGACCTGGACAAGAATCATTTGGTGACCCATGGGTCGGAAGGATTCTACGGGAAATCGGACAGAGGTAAGAATCTCCAACCCACAACACGCGCTGCGATTCATAACACATGACGCCATAAAGCCATACATTTCGTATGCTTGATAATACATGCGAAACATATGGCATTTAAAAAGGCGCGCAATGCGATGCTGACGCAAGATTGCTGACGTAACGCTGACGTTTTCGGTGATGTCCTTAGTCTGTGTAGAAGACCACCCCGCGGTTCCGTACAACTCCGGGCAACAGACTCTGGAAACGCATTTACTTGCAAAATTATACAAAACTATTGCTTAAGACATTCTTATAGTTGTAGTTACTTTAAAGAATCTTGTGGTGTGCTCTTGTTCCTGAAGATTTGCTGGAGTTCCCGGACAGCCCTTACAACACCTTCCGAGAACCTAACAACGAGGGCTGCGACTTCAGGAGCCACTACAACATCCCCGAGGCGGACTTCACCTGCATCCACCTGTGGCCCGAGGACTGGGGCGTCGACGGCCCGGACAGGAGGGACAGGCTGGAAGAGTTCAATTCGCGGTGGATCCTGAAGCACGCCGAGATTTCGGCGGAACTGGGAAAGCCCTTCGTCGTCACCGAATTTGGATCGAAGCGGAATGACGAGCTGCGGAGGAGGATCTACAATCAGGTGGAGCACCTTCCGGAACCTTCTGGAATTTTCCAAGAAGGCACTTTCTGGCGTATTTCAAAGAGGCTCGCGTATTGCTGGTGGTATAGGGCTCCAATGTTGGTGCCATATGTCGCAATGCCGGATCACATGGGGCCATGTGGCGTTCATGTGTCGCTCAATAACCGTTTGGTGGGGCCAAGCATAGCAGGGCTGTTTCATTGGCGAAACGGTTAGATCGCATAATTTGCCTCGTGTTCGTCGCGGGTTGGGCCACAATTCAAGCGCGATTTTCCGCAGTTGGAAACGCAAATTGTCAACGCAAAATGGAATCGCGCAAAACGATCAAATCTAACCAAGACATCCTCCTGATCAACGCAGCATGCTTAAGAACTTGAACGTCACTCGATTTGAGTCTCCTGACCGCCATCCGAGCAGAAACTGAGGCGGGGCATTCTCCTTGGTTGTGTTCTCCGTGTCGTGCAGATGCAGTAACGCCTATTAGTTTTCCATGTGGACTCTTGAGGTCAGCACAAACCGGAGATCTGGCTCAGCTTCATTGAGAAGAACGAACCTGAAAGATTAACAAGACAAGGGAGTTATGAGAACTACAGCGATAAAACAGCACAAATGTATATACCATCAACACTAACTGGAGCTGCAGCTATAGTTGCACAGCGCCTTGCTGCTGTTTCTCTTTGATGCATTCGCCTGCAAAGGTATCCTTGTCATTTCCCCTCATGTCCCATTTGCGCCGCACAGCCTTTAGAGACACCAACTTCAGCAACGAGTTCGATTACAAAGTACGGTCGTCTAAACTGCGCAGGTGCTGAACCTAGTGTACGGTATGGCCGCCGATCCGAACGGGGACCCTGTGATGGGCATGCTCTGCTGGAATCTCACCGTCAAGGAGACCAACCAAGTCGGCGAATACGATGTCTACCCTCCAGGAAGGTTCCCGCGCGGGGCCCGGGGCAGGGAAATCAACGACGAAGTAATGGCCAAGGTATTTGATTGATTGACTGACTAATTGATTGATTGATTAATTAGTCACTCAAATCGATTCACGATTTATTCGTTTACTTGTTTACCTGCTTGGTGGATACTTTCCTTGAAGGCAGAGAATCGCCATCGCCAGTATATGGTGCATAAGAGGATGTCGCTCTGTCATTTTGCAAATGAAATTACAAAATTAAAACTGTTTCTATGTCCGTAATTAAATGAAACAATTTGTCGGGAGGCTGCATTCGATTCAATTGCCTGATTGTTTTTCTTCAAAATGCAGCCACATCACCTACTACACATGTACTGGTTGCTGGCAAAAAATCAGAAGGAACGCTTAAGCACACAGCTCATTCGGCAACGCATTGAACCTGGGCCACTCCATTCCAGAATTTGGACGCTCCCAGGGCATCCCCCGCCAACCAAAACGCTTCCGGGTCCGGATCGCCCAACACACAATTGCGGCCCCTTTTGGCGGACTTCAGGGCACCAGAATGGCAGAGCGGTCAGCCTCGCTCAGCCTCTGACGCATTGGTCGGCACCCATCGCGATGGACGGCCAGTGGAGGTTGCGGATGGCCGTGCATCTCACCATAGGTGATTGGCGGAAATCCCCGCCATTGTCAACGGCGACGCCCCGACATATCTGGGATCTGCCGACGCCAGCTGGTCTTTGGGTGTCTGAAGGCTAGCCGTGGAAAGGCTGCGTGCGCCAAAAGCTCTCCTTTCGTTGGGGATCTCGAATCAATGGCCTAGTCGCGGAACGCCTCCTCACAAGGCGACACCAATCCACCCAAACACAGCCGATGGAGGGTGTGGATGCTCCATCGAAGACCCTGGGTGGTGCAACATGGCGCTGTTGCGTTCTGCAGGGACGCCCTGATTGTCAAGTTTGAAAGGACCCGATTTCGAAATCGGGTTGGAATTCCGGGTTTCCGATCCGAAATGGAAATGTTGAAGTGGCCATCAAAACCACGGTCGCGACCGACGATCGAGCAGCACGGATGTCGGCTCCACGGCCTCTGTGATGCGAAAGGAAGGCCTCCTCTGTTCTTTGCAAAAATTCGATAGAATGTAATAATCTCATTGTCCCCGCTCTGTTCAAATTTTCAAAACAATAGTAAGTACGTGATGCAACGATGGTCCCCCAAACAAATTGTTTCATTGAATTCCAGACAGGTTAGGTCCATACCTAAGCGTATATATGATGCATTACATAATATTGCATATTATGTACATAGTGTATCGTATAATTATGCAATTAAGTGTAAGCAATAATACAGAGGATTCGTGTGCATGGCCAAGGTGGAGGAGAAGGCGGGGCAGTTCAACGACCTGCGCGAACAGGGCAGCTTGGCGCAGACGCCTGCTGTGCCTCCGCCGATTTTGAGGCCGCCGGCTGTCGATGGGAGAGATTTCGTGCGCGTGGATGGCTCGCGGCTGGTGCTGGGGGACGAGACCTTCTACTTCATTGGCGCCAACTCCTACGACCTCATGGTGAGCAGGCCTGATATTAACGCCCCAAACCTGATCATATCAACGTTTTACGCGTAAAATAGCGTAAACATAGAGCAAACACAGCCTCGAAAACATAAGGGCGGTACGTACAAATGGTGAGACGCTCGTGAGTGCGCTTCGCACGAACTTCCAGTACATTCTCATTCGGCATGAAGTCGTGAAGGCCATGAAGGTGTCATGGAGCAACCGCGATGCCATGGAGTCGCGAACGTTCTCAAGTTCGTTTAGGATTTAGGGTGCCCAGGCTTCCTGGAACTATAAGTTTTTTAGGGCTTTGCGTCCCTAGTGCCCGCCACGACCTTCACAAACCCTGAGCAACGTTTATGTACGGAAATGTTGGGCGTCGGGCGATGCTTGCAATTTGATCCGCATGAAGGGTGCGGCTTCTGCAGCTGCTCCCTGCTGGATTCACGCTGGCAGGCCTCTCTTTATGTGGGGAGCGGGCTGCTTGACCCTTTCTAGAAATTTCGCATTTTCAAATCAGGGGAGGAATCGAAATTTGCGGGATTCCACACGCGTTCTGTCACGTCAAAATATCTTCGCTCCAGCTGCGGGCGGTGCAACAGGCACACCGTGCCGTATTCAACCTTTTGGCATCAAAACATTTTACCTTTACGCTCTTTGCTCAAATTTTTTGCCAGGGCGTCGCTTTCAATTCTTTGCGTCGCCCCGCAAAGATATTGTTGAAAGAGCGTTATTTGTTTTATAGCTTTCTCCCTAAAGAAAGGCCCGGCGTTACGTTGCCATGCAGAAGGGTTGAACATACTAAGGTATGTGATTGGAAACTAAATTAGGGGCTGCGCACCGCCACAAAACTACCAGTCGTTGCATTTGCAGCAGGCTAAGCTGTCCCGCAGCCCGGCTCTCCCATCGCCAAGCCTTGGTCGCTCGCAGAAAACTGCATTATTGCGACGGGAACTGCGACGCCACCTGACCCACATTGACGCCATCGCGCGTGCTTCTGTTCAAACTCAAGCGCTGTGGCGGAGCCACTCTGTTTCAGAATCTCTAGTGGAAATGGCCACTTCCAAGATGGCAACTGACCACAGATGACGCTTACTGTGACGTCACTGGGACGCTCCCTCGAGCATTCGCATCCCACGAAGCGTCACGGTGGCGTTCCAGTAAGCGCTATTTGTGGTCTATCGGTGTCCTGGAGATGGCCATTTTCACTGCTGAACAACATCGCAATTGGGGATCGCAGACATGGTGGCCTGTGACGGCGAATGGAGCGCCCGGCCTCAGTTGACCCAGCGAGCTGACCACCGCTGGGGCCCCACACTGCGTGGTTCTCGAGCCTGACGTCAGCCAGCTTCGGGAGCTCATCGCTGAACTGTGATGTGACGTGCGCAGATGCAGGCCGCATACTGGAGGGCGAGCGGCGAGCCCGTGCGCCAGGTGACCGACCTGCTGGACAAGTGCGTGGAGATGGGCCTGACCGTCGTTCGCATGTGGGCCTTCTTCAACGAGCCAACCGACGACCGGGACCAGAGGGGAACGCCCAAGGCGCTCGAGTATCAGCCAGGTGAGAAACTGGGATGCGCATCGTCATCGAAACCCATCGATTGCATTTGCAAGGAAATGGCAAAACACAGCCCGTGCACCTGACAGGAGATGATGGGCGTGACAACCCAGCAGATCGTTTGTTCAGAGGCGATTGCTCATGGTCCCATGTCCACACCCCATTGTCCCGTGGAATGTAGCCAAGCGCCGTGAATAACAAACCCCCCATGGGCTATGTTCAGAAAATGCAGGGTGCGCATGTTGCGGGGCGGGCTCGCGCGGTAGGTGGTGGGTGTGTGGGTTAGGAGGATTGCGCCTGCGTGTCGGGCATCATGGTGCACTGGCAATGCTTGCGTGCCAGAAGCGTTTGGCAGAGCCAAATTTTTGCCATGGATATGGCGCCGCCAGGTGGGCGTGTGTGTGTCTGGGTGGGTAGGGAATTGTGCCTGCACGTTGGGCGCCACGTTGTGTTGCTAGTGCTTGCAGGCCGGAAACGTTAGGCAGCGCCAACTTTTGGCCATGCATTCGGCGCCTTCAGGTGTGTGTTCGGTTCGATGGTGCCGAAGCTGCAGATCTTGTGACAGTACTGTGACAGCTCTATCCACCTGTCAGCAAATGGCATGGGAGAGACGGTGCGGGTGGCACCCCGTTTGACACCATCCCCTCAAAATCAAATTTTGCGTCTGCAACTCTTTGCACAATCTAAACACAGTCCGCACCACTGATGAACGACGCTCAGCTATTGTTTCGGTATCGAGCGTGGACAGAAATTGAGTGAAATTTGCCATCGGTAAGCGCTGCTTCTTACGCAATGCTGGAACCATTGAAGGATAATTGCGCAATACTAGTAAGTTGCAAGTACATTTATAGATGTGTACCCACTAGCAAAAAAGGTACCAAATATCACTTTTGCGAACACACATAAAACATATTTCATCAAAGTTCTGCGCACTAAGAGCACAAAAGTAGCCCAAACCCGTAAATTTCGTGCACGTTTGAACACTCGTTATTTGCCCTTTTTTTGCCCTAGTGACCACCGCCTTGACATTCTCAATGGTGGGACCGAAGAAAGGCTGAAAGCTTCGCTGCTGCCAAGTTGTTTGCTTGTTGGCCGCGCAGGCGTGTACAACGAGGATTTCTTGTGGGGCCTTGATTACGTCATCTCTGAAGCTGGCAAGCGCGACATCAAGTTGCTGCCGGTTCTCACAAACTACCAGAAAGAATACGGAGGAATGCGCCAGTATGCAAAGTGAGTCCCATGCAGGAAATTTCTGTCAAAGCGGACGTCCATGAATTTGCGCATGCTTATGATTGATAGCAGTTGCGTTCAAACGTGGTACCATGTCGGTGCATTTGCACTTGGTTCTGTTATGGATTGTCGCTGGGATCTCGGTTTTGATTCGATTTGACGGCCGTGGACGGCAGTGAAAAGATCTTTGGGGACCAGCCACAGCCATGAAGATGGCACTGACGCGCACCCACGCATGGATCGCTAATTTCCATATTGATGCTCGATGCTGCGGAAATTTCCCACCGCCATTTGTGTGTGCGCGACTCGTGTGTGGTGAGGCACTTCGCTCTCATCCTCACAGCCGGTGCTGGCCATCGCAAATCGTCAGCGTCGGAATTCTCAATGCTCTTGAGTCCATTTTCATCGACTCCGAAATTGACGCCGAAAGCTCATTATCTCACACTGGGGTTAAGTCCGTAATGAACATTTCTGGCCGTGGTCCTGATGTGTTCAGCTGGGCACTGAGGCGAACAAACCTGCGCTCAGAGGACTTCTACACGTCTCCGGATGCCATTCGAATGTTCGAGAACCACGTGAGGAAAATCGTCACGAGGAGGAACTCCATCACCGGCGTTAACTACAGGTGAGAGGGATCGAATAGAGCGTGACCCGTGCAAATCAGGCTTGGTTCTCGCGCTGTGAAAACTAATCGCATCACGTTTTTACGCTTTAAAATGCGTGAAAATACCGGAATGCAATGTAAGTACAGTCCCGCGTACATAAGGACAGTACATACAGATTTACGGAGTCTGGAAAATGGCAGCCAGACACCCTGAAAAAGGCAGAAAACGACCTTTTGTTACACCAAGGGCGATATGTATATTGTGTTGCAGGTGCTGTAGATGGCGGAAGGCTGACCATTGTTCGCCACTTTCATCGTGTAACCTAGGTATCCCAGGGAGCCGCCCAAATGTAAAAATAGTCACAAACATATATATAGGCCCTTTCGCGAATTTACGTTCTTACACGGAAAAACGCAAACGCAAAAACGCAAACGTAAACGTAAACGTGAGAACCAAACCTGGTGCAAAGTCAGAATACCGTAGTGTCTTCAACCCTTCCGCATAATAGCATGACGCATAGCCTTTTTTTAGTGGAAAACAATAATTTATTGTTTTCAAAAAATTACCTCTAAGTTTTTTGCGTTGCTCGGGCAAAAATTACTTAATGAGCGCTATTCACTTTAAAAGTGAATAGCGCTCATTAAGTAATTTTTGCCCGAGCAACGCAAAAAACTTAGAGGTAATTTTTTGAAAAAAGTGCGGAGCAAAAAGCGCAACGGTCAATTTGTTTGATGCGGAAAGATTATATATGATATATGGTACTGCGTGCCCGCATAAATATCAATAGTTGGACAGTTTGAAGGAGTTGTTCAGATTTTGGGATTGGCGTCGCGGGGCCGCATGCACATCGAATGGATCTTGCAGGGAGCTGTGCAGACGCATGGGTTGGGAAATCCACATGAAACTGCGGAGTCGAATGACATTTCTGTTGGCGATAGGATTTAACACACTAACATTGAGTCAATACGTTGCAGTGCGCCACAATGTTATTAGCGCATTCGTTAGGTAAAAATTGGGTATCTCCACGAAGCGAAAATTGATTTGCGAGCGACTCCGCCACACGTCGCTTTGGTCAATTTAACGCTCGAATAGATGCTTGCCCTGCGCGAGTTCGAG